TAAAGTGTAGTTTCTGAAATCTTTTCTGCAACTACAACTATTTTATTGGCCAAAAATATTTATTCCCCTTTTGGAAACTCTTAGAAATACTTAAGCACTCACTTTACTAAATTTTGCTAATAAAAATGAAACCTTTTGAATTTTAAATTCGAAAAATCACTACAATTCAATTTAATTTATAAATGCAATTTTTCTTAACCTTTCTTAACAATTTCTAAAGAGAGGAAAAATAGCATAAATCTAACAAATCAGCTAGTAAATCTTGTTTATATGCCATTCATACATATTATGGTTTCATACAATTTTACCAACAAAACGCATTTTGTGGTATCAAAATGACAAAATTTTCTACCAAAGCAATAATAACAGTGGGTTTTATATATCAAAAATGTTAACAATAAATGCTAATAACATTAATATAAAAGCAATATTTTCATAAAAGTAAAGATGTTATTAGTTAACATAAATGTGAATGATACTGTTAAGTAGTATATGGCATATGTGACTGTTATAAGTATTTTACATGTGCATAGTAATAACATTAGTGCACTCCACTGTATTTGTGAAGAATTTGCTAACAACGTAAAGCATAGCAAATTGAATTTCGGCAAGATACATTCATAAAATGTGAATAAAGAGTCACATTTACGAAAATAAAATGCTGCGAAATTGCTGTGTTTCTATTCGCAATCGTACATTTGACTTAAAAGTGTGCACAAAGGACACTACAGACAGACGGACAGACAAACACACGAATGTTGCAAAACCATTTGGAAAGAGTTGTTGCAGTATGATTTTTATTGCATTTGCAGATAAGTTTCTAGTGCCAGAAGATACTTTATATAAGATACTTTATATCATTTTAGAAGAAAAATAAGATATGAATATGGATAACATTTTTTATTTTCTATAAATTTAACATAATTTTATTTTTTTTATACCAATATTTTCTTTATTATTAAAAGAAATTTTTTAATCACAAATTAAAATATAATTTCTTTTTTATAAAGGGTTTTTCGAACAGTAGTGAAGTACAACAACAAAAATTATTTTATATTATTTTAGTTAATTGAATTTTGACTGATCATACAACTGTTTCGAGTATTGCCAAATACTCATTATCAGTGGTCTTGGAAATAATTCTTGTATTTGATTATTCGTAAGTAATTTTTTTGAGACTGCAAGTACTGGGAATCGAACTCGTGCCCTGTCAAATTTGAAGCTCAGAGTCAGCGCACCTTAACCAACTGACCCAAAGCCGTACTTGACTTTTATGTTCGCACATTTTTCTGGAGTTTTGTTCAATTAATGTGAAAATTTTATTAACAAATTCACTTACTGTGTTTATATAAGATCGAAGTCATAAACCAAATCATACTCAAAAATAATTCCTTAAAAGTTCCTAAAATATATCCGTCTGAGTGCACGCGAGAAGCTCTCCTAAAGACTGTTTTATTTCAAATACTCCTGAAAACTCACGGAATTTCATCCATGGCAGAGCATTTTTGTAGCTTTCTCAAAGACTGTTTAACTCCAAAATAGGAATGCTTTATGATCCTAAAATACTTTTTCAGGAGAGTTTTGGTTAATTATGAGTTCTTAAAAATATAAATATAATGAGCTCAAATGATGGCACATTGTGGTGCCACAAGAATAGCATTTGAACGTACATAGATTTAAATCAGTATACAGCCTACATCGAAAAAGTTAACGACTCCCCCATTAGGTAAAGGAAAACTAACCTAGACAAAAATCATTATAGGGTGGCCCCAGTCTCATAGCATGCCTTCCTATTTCACAGTGCCCCGTCAGCACAAATATCATATACGCAGATATAATTCTAATACTGCTAGAAGGTCCTGAAAATTCATACCTGTCGTAGTATTTTAGTAGCTCTCTTAAGGACTGTTTGACTTCTGAAAAGTTATGCTTTATGCTCTTAAAACAGTCCTTTAAGAGGCTTTTTGTTAGTTATGCGAGTTTATGACATCTTATTTATATTTATATTATGTGTATTATCAAATACATATCTGTTCATATATTTTTTTCATCTTAATGCATTTTCATTTCACTATATACCATATAAAAAATATTTATTATTTGTACTAAGGAATAAAGAAGAAATAATGCTACTACCATCTCAGCTGTAATATGAAAGTAGCACAACTTCATAATAACTTCCACACTTATTAAATTACTTTTTTAATGCTATCTATGCAGGAAGCCACATTTTTACTTATTTCCGGCAACAATTTTTATAAATTTTTCTTTTATATTAAAAAATATTGTCTTTGCATTACTTAATGACACAAAATGATGGAAACAATGAAGAGACTCACTTATGCATAAGCGCAAGCAAACTCACACACTGCCAAGTCAAACAAATAATTTTCACATAAAGCAAAGAAACTGCAACGTTGCAGAGTCTTTGTACTGAAAGTGCTCCATACGGTAAAAAAGAAAAAATAAATAAATAATATAAAAAAAAAGAATTATGCACTTTCACATATAAATGTATGCATATGAAACATCACAGCTTGAAATTCTATGCAGTTCTCAATTTCAGCAGGATAAATGCTAAACGGAAAAGCAACAAGCCACCAAAAGGGAGGATTTCGAACTGTTATGCCATCGCAACTGGCAACTAGCAACTAGCAACTTGCCACTTACCACTTCAAATCGCGCTGCAGAAGCACTTTAGTGAAAGTAGAGCACGTTTAACAGAATGAAGTAATAATGCAACATAAATGAATGTGTTGCCGCATTAGGAGCAGTGGTTCTGGTTCCAGCAGCTACGGAATTGCTTGATTATGCAAGTCGTTAGCAACACTAGAACCGAAGTCCTTTATGGCTATAATATATTTTAATTTTACAGTAATGTTAGCAATAAAGACAATAAATAAACCGAATAAACCGAATATGAGTTGCAATCATTGAGTTATGAACCCCTACTTTCTGCTTTAGTTTATTATTAATTATTGTTGAAATTGAATGACATTTGTTTGTGAAACAATATAGAGAAAAATATTATTGTGTTTTGTTTTAAAACAATTAACTAAAATGTTAGTTCATTATAGCTTTATTTTGTACAGAAATTAAGGAAAAATAAATTTTTTTTAAAGCTTTTAGAAAATTGTTAACCCTTAAGCAGAGTCCTCCAAATGACAATAAAGATATATACTCGATAATAAATATGGAAATAGAATAGAATAGAAATAAGTATACAGAGAAGAAAATCAGTTTCACACAAACTAATATTAAGAAGAAATTGGAATAATTTCACTGCAACGCAGACCCGTCTAAGTTAAATAAT